GGTGAAGATAAAATTTTGTCTACAGTTCTTAGGCAGTTTACTTATTATCTGTAGTAATAGAGATAATATATAATTCTCAGGTATTTACAGTCACTTCAGGTTTTTAGGCAATTTATCTTAGAACAGAAACAGCATTTTAGAATGTTGTAACTCCATAATCAACACACCACAATGTGATACTTAAAATGTTTGGTTACAAAACGCTAAATGTAAGAGGTGTTTTTAGTATTGGATACCTTTAAAGTTAATGACAAAATACAATTATAACTTCCTCTGTTGGTAAACTGAGAATTCAAACAACATGAAGTGGTTTTTTTAATCCATTTTGAGTAGGAGGACATCGACTAAAAACGCAAGTGTAAGGTCTACAAAGTTGAAATAAAATAAATAACAAAAAGGATATAGATTTATTTGATGTAAGGTTATCGTTTTGCACATACCACATATTTGACAATACACGAATATGGGTTTCCACTGCAGAAACAAGACATTTATTTAGTGACTTAACTCTCATGAGTGTCGTTGCCTGTATGTCCTAATTTTACTCATAATTCTTAGCCATGGTTTTATGTTCATTAGAGTGCTTAATTTAAGTGTAAATCAAATGATCCTTAAATAAGTTTCCCCTTTATGCCTACAGCAGAAAATGTTCTTGTTTACAACTTTTCATAAATGTATTCTACACTTTTGACTGTTTATCATGAAAATATATATGTTGTCAAGTAAGATAAATTAATGTCTATATGTGAGTTTGTGACATTATTATTGTCTTGGGTTCCAAGTGGAACATAACGTTCCAGCAGTGCATCCAAGTTCCCCTACCCATCTATCCCAACGATTGCCCACCAGCTTTCATCTCCTCTGCGTTACTCTCGGCGGTCTAACTCGTCATTCTGTATTCAGGTTCCACCCGGACGTCTGAGGCATGATTTCACTCAGCAGTCTCTTCAGCCTCTAGGCAATGCATATTCATTGACTTCAGCTTCTTTGTTGGGTGGTTGGTAAGTTTAAAGTTGGACTATGATGCATTCAATAAAAGACAGTCTTTATTGAATATTCCTAATCTCGAATTTGTCGTTTGAATATAATTAAACACTTTTTTATCGTCATATTGATGACGCATATATATATATATTATGTAAATTAGTTAGGCAGGGTACTTCTTCTGTTAAGCAACGTTTGCGTCAGTAACACGTCATACAAAGGTATGAGAATAAAGTTAGAAAAATGTGTGCATCATACTTTATGTAAGGTTTTAGTGAGGTTTCAATCCTTCCATGAAATATGTTCGCAAAAAGCGAATCTGAGTTTTTGAAATTCATTATTCAGAAACTATTTGGCGCAGAATTCGAACATTTTTTTTCAACGCATGGTCAGTTTTTGTCAGAGATATAAAAAGCGTCAAATTAAACATCTTGGAGGACGAAAAAAGTTCTACAATAAAGACGTCTTAGCAAGAATAAAATGAGAGAGTCTTCTTTAACTGACTGTCATTTTTTTAGTTGGATATTTTATGGTCATATGGTTCTGTATCAAAAATATAATTATTAATAAGGCGAGAAGAATTCCATTATGACTGATTATTTACAACATTTTGGACGAATTTATTACCATTTAGTCAGTGTAGTTTAACAGTTTAGTTTAAAACGTTATATAATAATGCAGAGTCTCTAATAAAAAGCCAGTTGAAAAGAAACATATGTCTACAATCAACCCCGCTGTTTTCTAAAGGTCTAAATGAGACGTTTCAGTATATCACAATGTGTATCATCGAGGGATTACGGAAAAAGATGGGCTAGAGTCACTACTCACTAAAGTATCGGAAATTGTTGTTTACGTATGTGGACTTTTGTTTATTCCTGTGCGTTTCAAATGGAACATAAGGCTTCTGGCCTTTTGAATTTTCTGCAGCGGTGTTTTCCTTACGAACCAGAGTTGCCAGTCTGAAAACCAAACTTCCTTAATTTTGATGACGTTCAAGAGAGCATTGGTGAGAAGTTGAGAATGGATCAAATGAGTAGTTGGCAAGTGTTCTACCACTGAGCCATCGACGTCACATGTTGTAACACTGATACAACAATTATGAGAGAGTGGAAGTCTTTATCGTTAAGCAACAGTTTCTTCTGAACACCAGATTTCTACATAATTTTTACTTAAGAATTACCAAGAGTTGGTTTGTAGGGATTCGATTTATCAAATAGATCCAGTGTTGAAATAATAGAAAAGATTTGTAACTCAGGTGGATGATTTGGAATTGATAGTGTTCTCTGAGCTCCTTGGGCGTCCCCTTCGAATAAGAATCCAGGAACACAAATCAGCCGTGAAAAGACATGATATAAATTCTTTAGTATCAATACATTGAGACGATCATGGACATCAATTTGATTGGGATAATGTCAAAATCTTAAACAGAGGAGACACCAAATGTGCCAGAGAATTCCTAGAAGCCTGGTACTCAAATGAAAACGCAATTAATAAACACGTTAATATAGATGAAATATACCAACTAATAAGAAGTAAATCAGGTGATCAGAAAGTTTAAAATCCCAATCAATAGAAAACGGTCAATAAATATCTAAAGATGGTTACCGGAGACTCATGAAGAAATTTAAATCATTTCATTTTATCCTAAATACTGCGCTGAAGATGTCGTCCAGAAAGACGATGAAAGCTCCGCAATTAAACCAAGGAGCTCAGAGAACACTATCAATTCCAGATCCAGCGTTGACTAGATTATAACCTGGGATATGTGAATTTAGGCATACATTTTTTCGGAGAACTAATTATGAAAATTAAAATGCTGGCTAATTCTAAATAAACCACAGAAGTTGGATAGCATTATTAGATGTAGTTTATCTGAAAAATATGATGTATTTACATATTACATTTTGGGCAGTCTGACCACACATTTACTGGTCAAGTCAATTCATATGAAAAACGAAAAAAAGGAAAAATGACAATTATAATAAATGCAAAATAATGAGCATATCAAGTATAAAAAGGATAATAATTGTCCCTATGTTTTGGTATTATAATCAGGTAAGGATTACCAGGTTAGGCTAAGGATAACAAAAAATTGTTTTTATGCTCATAAGGGAAGGGATTTCATTTGATGGTTGAATTTCACAACAGCGAACTACAATACAGCTTCCCTGATTGTTCTTATAGATAATCTTAAAGGCTGTTTCAGTATCAGTCTTTGGATTCATTTCAGTAAGTAATAAAATAGTCCTATTTGTTATTATAACATAATACAGCTGGCTAGTCATTAAAAATAACCATTTGTTCATTTCTGATGACAGTTTACGGACTTCAAATTCCAATAGTATTCATGAAATAAGATCAGTATAGTCAAGGAAAGTGTATCTAACTAGGCTATGTTTGCCTTAGACACATACACACACATGAACAAACGATATTCTCATTTAAGCCTCATATACTTGTACTAAAATTGTGGTCAAAAAATCTAAATTTGTACAGTTTCCAATCTCATGTTTATGATACTTCTTATTTCATCCAGTCTCGCTTATTCGCTATCATATCATTTACCCTAAAACGTGGTAGGTATTTAGGCAACCCGTAAATACTACACAACACATATAATTAAGCCTGTAGGATTTTATAGAGATACATGAATTGTCAACTGCTTCTATAGTCATATAAACTAGGATGGAATATGTTTAACCTTCATTCTCTTTTCTAATTACACGTTATTAAAAGAATCCCAGTGTATATTATTCAGCAATAGACAGTCTTCTTGGACTTTCTCGTTGAATGGTTGCACCAAAATGCCCAGCCTCTGTTAACATGTCATTTGCTTGAACAAAAATGCCCCATCATGGATTCCATATTGCTGGTCATCACCCATCAGACTACTTGAGACTCATTTGTTTAGAATTATTATACGTACGATTACATAACTTAGACAAAAGGCATTAGACAGAATCCAAGTAACTTTAGATGAAACATTTGAAGGCTATTACTGCTTTACGTATACCTAATTTTCATACAAATTGGCTTTATTTCAGCTCTCCTAGATTTCTCAGTATATCCTATCTGATATAAGTCAACTGATAGGAAATGTTGGACAAGGCCTTAATGGTAGTTGAATCTCAACAGTTTTGTCTAAAAAAATTTGCAAGAATCTGTGGGGAGGTGAGCTCTTGGTTTATTATTGAGATCTAAAACAATCTGTGTAATGGAAAGACTGTTTTAAAAATCCTTCCTGGATGATCTAATCACAGTACGTATACTTCTTTGGATGTTTCAACTAACTTCGTAATTATTATCCGTCTTTCTTCTAGACAGTATATCATATTGTGATATCTGTATATCACATTTTGATTTGGTCCTGATTATCTTTCTTAATGCTTGTTTAGTCCCTAGTTTTAATACTTCACTTTGGGTTTGTGTAATACGCTGATAATCTGTTGTTCTACGATGTGGTTTTGTCTAAGTAGATGAAGGTCATTCCCATCAAGAACTGTCTTCAGGAAGCATTCCAGTGGACGAAATCGCTTATCCCACCTATCCGGAAATATTCTACCTGATTCTAAGTACTCGTTTTGTTCTTAGACTGAAGTATATAGCTGCCAAACAGTACTATCTCACTGGTATCTTTTGGGCGTTTCGTGACTCCGTGTGTCTCGAGGAGGTTTTTTCAGTTATACAGTAGGATGCAAAGATCGATTTTTTATGCTCAGACCACGATGAGCCGGTTCCGCTAGTAACAGTTTATGTGTTAGGATTCAAATGATGACTGTGCATTATGTAAAACCGTGTCTACACTAGTTCTAAAGACAGATAATTCATGTACCGAACTGTAATGTTTCTTTTGTAGTGGACTAAACAATGAGTTTCTTTTGAATTTATGAAAATACAAATACAAATTAACAGTCATTTCAATTTTTACCGTCATGAATTTGTTTGGTCAATTAAAATAACCAATCAGAATTTAGAGTCAGTAAGTTATTTAAGTAATATAAACATCTCTGTACTTTATTCTAGTATAGTTCATATTTAGCAGAACGGAATGAGGAAAAATATATATTTCACATGTATACGTATTATTATATGTATTGATTAGATGATAATTTGGAAAAGTATTCCTTCATTTTCTGATTGTTTTTATGCCCAATATTATCAACAACAACCGCGTAATCAAAGCAGTAAAAAAACAATATTCACCAGGTGGAAAGTTTCACTGAAAAGAAAGTAGTTTGTCAGAAATTATTGTGAGCTAATGGCACAATACTCGCGTATCCCCCGTCTGGTTAGCTGAAGCACTTTCTGGTTGATAATGATTAACAAAAGTACAGACAATTATCAGGTGCCTTTAAAATCGTTTTATTCATCAACAATGCTCTATGATAATCTATCAAAATATTTTCTTGTCTGGTATTTACCAACAGTAATCACAGTTGGATTCGCTGGATCAATCTTCTGTTTATTTTTCTTAATACGTTCGAAATTATTCCCGTCTAGTTTACAAATATGGCTTATAAGTATTTGTATCGGAGATTTTTTCATCTTAATGACAGAAGGTATATGGATGCTATTGAAAGTATGGTTCCGAATTGATCTTCGAGATTACAATAACTGGATATGTATTCTGCATACGAGTTTTTCAAATTATTTATTCTACTGGTCAGCATATATGCAATGCATTTTATCAATTCAACGTTGTTACCTTGTTCTATGTCCATTAAAAGTTAAATCAAAATTTTTATCTTTATCAAGACTGCTAGTCTATCAGCTGTTGACTTCATTATTTCTAGTCTTACCAATTCTACCCTATCCACTTTATTGGCAGGTTATAAAAGGTGATTGTGATCCTGTAAATGAAAGAATATTCCGTTTCACAACAATATGCGACTTAATACTATGGGGATTTGTGCCTGTATTTGTTATGACAACATGTACAGGCATTATATGTCGGAATTTACTGACACGACATAAATTTGTCCATCCAACAATGCATACTAACTCGAAAATGAACAATAATCAACATCACCATCATTATCAACATCATGCCTACCGGTACACAATAAGCAGTACTGGTAATCTTCACAAACACAGCTACCAGTTACCATATCCAATTCATCTGAAATCTGTGAAATCATTTGGTCATTCAGTGAATTTGTTATCAAGTCAAGAATCAGTGTTTAACACACTTGATCATCATCCTATACATTGTGATGTAGGTCAGCGTAAATGTTCTTCACATGATAGTAATATGCGTGTCACACCACTTCTGATTTGTATGAATCTAGTTTATATGACAAGTGTTTGTCCATTGGTCATTTATTTTTTATGCTTAAATTTTATTTTTGAAAAAATTGACTCTGATATGCACAAATTTCTTTATTATTTATTTCGAAGTTTTTGTCTACTGAATACCTGTACAAATTGGATATTTTATTGTGTATCTGGTAAAATGTTTCGTCAGCGTACTAAATTCCTCATCATGCTACTGTGTCGTTCACAGAAAAAGTCAACTTATACAGATAACAAAGGCTATCTGATGACAAAATACACAAGTAAATGTAGGTGTTCAACATCTAATTTAACACAAAATACTAAATACTCGATAAAAAGACCTCTTTCTAGCAAATTGTAAATGTTTTGCATGGTATGATTTCGATACAAAACAAAAAATAAAAACAAAAATTGTAGGAATACTTCTTTGTATTGTAAATTCATCCGATGACAGGATTTATACATTCCGTATTTACATACAACAATTGATAGACAGAATTCTACTTTAAAATGTGTGTTTCAAAACTTTAAAAACATCTCTGATGATACCTCATATTCAGTGAAAATCATTTCTACTACTACTCTACAATAATTTGTGATTTGAAGATGTTATAATTTACATATATGAGCATTATTTCGTCTTCACAACACATTTATATGTATTTATGTATTAATGTATAAAATATGCTTAAATTTTTTAGCTTGTAATATCAGTCACACACTACCTGGCTGAATATGAACATTTACAAATGTATTCCGGCTTTCCAGATATTGTGTTTTCTTTTCAACTACCTATAATGAAATATTATTTGGTAAGTGGAGTCTTTCTCATTAAAACTTTGACCTCAACTGGATTTTTTTCGAAAAAAACTGTTTGAAAACATTGCGAAAAATAATAAAACATTTTTTGAATGACATCTGTTTGTTTAAAATTATTATTATTCTCCTTGCTTTCCAAGTAGAACATAGGGCTTCAACAACAGATCTCCATTTTACAGTCTTTTTCCATCCTCTTCAGCCGAGTTCTCGACTGACCAAACTCTCTCACCTCTTTGTCACACGATCTCTCTCAAGTCACCCTTTCACCGACGGCCGACTCGTCGCTTCCCGTTTGGATTCCACTCGACAGTCTGGTGTGCGATGTCATTCGGTGGCCTTCTCAATGTATGCACAGTCCATCTCTATTTTCTCCTACATATTTTTTTGAGCGATCGGCTCTTGGTTGGTTTCTTTTCCATAACTTTTTGTCGATTATTCTTTCTGGCCATTTGATCTTCAGTATGGGGCCAGCCGGCAAAGGTGGCAGCTGTTGATGAAATTCTGCAACCTGTTGAAAACCTTTTTCGTGACACACCAAGTTTCTGATCCGTATAGGAAGACCGACTAGTGTTGAAAATGCAAATCTTGTTCCTTATGCTTAATGCGGAAGATTTCCAAACAGGTTTCAGGTTGATGAAGGTTTTTTTTCACATTGAATAATAAAACTGTCGATGTAGGACAAAGATTTGCACTTAAGTTTATTACAGAGAATTTGTAGCAGTTCTTATATATGGATTGCAGTTTAACGATAAGTTGGTGAGTTCAAACCTTTCTTCAGATGTCTTGGTCTGATGACAACATCATACCATGTAGTGTGTATGACACAATTTGAGATTATAATGCCGTGCGTTTCTAAGACGTTTTATCTGTTTTAATCAAGGTCTAGGATTAAATGTCTGAGAAGCGAAAGTGAGACGTTGAAAGGCTTCAAGTCCAAGAGCATGACAGATGTACAAGTCAAAATCACTCAAACATTCACTTTTATGATTGGTTGTGTGTACGAATACATAAGAAAAGTGAGAGGCCTTTTCAGCAACAACAGTCTAAAAAGCGTTTTCTGAAACAATTCAGACACATATATTATGCAGTCATCTGTTTGTAATAACCCTCATCATTTAACACTAGCTGTTGATATAAACAAAGTAATCAGATTCCTTTTCTCTCAGTCTAAAGGAAATTCCTGATAACATGGCAAAATTACTTGGATTTAAAATCGAATTTCTGTTTATTAACAATGTGTAGCTGAACGATTTGTTTCAAATCACACCGTTAAAATTACATTAAAGGTTAGATTGGTTTTACTTTGTGTAAGTTATGCCCATTACCTAAGAATTATACATGGAAGAAAAGTGAATTCATTTGGTCAGGGTTAATTTTGATAATTTTTTCTTACTAAAAAAAGCATTATTTTAGATAAAGCAATAAGATGTAATTTGTCTGAATCGTGTAATGTATTCGCGCAACACATTTCGAACAATCTGATCACACACAGGCTTGTCATAGGAATATATATGAAATTAATAAAGAGGTAAGAGGTGAGAAAAATAGACTTAAGTCAAGTTAAAATGACATATTCAAGGTCAAAATAACAATGAAGATCACTAAACCAAATAGCAGAGGTAATAGTACATATGCTATGGTATCAAAACAAAATTTAACAAGGAAGGTTTAATGTGATGACGAACTGTTTTTGAACGCATAAAGGTGGCTTAAACTTTCTAATTGCTAGGGCTTCTACAAACTTTAGGATACGTCCCAAACACGTCTTATAGATAGGTTTAAAAGATCTGTTAACATCAATTTTATGACCTGTCTCTATAATATGTTTCGCAATAGAAGAGCTAGGTCTCCTGTTCTCACCATTTGTGGGTTCTGAAGATTTTGTTTCCTTCTGGAGCCATTTAGGAATATGCTCGGAATCCAGCTCTTAAATGAGAGATCGATGAGTCCTCCCTATGTATGTGTGTCCACACGTGCATTCAAATTGGTAAATACGGTGGGATGTGACGTCATTTTTCGCATGTTCGAAGGGCTCAGATAGATATAATGGCTTTACATTCTCTAATAATATGATATTAGCTGCATAAAAAGTCTTTTTAACAGCAGCGTTCAGCCTTTGTCTAGTTATCAAGCTGCTTTGATGTCCCATGTAGGGTAGCTTGATGTACACGTCTTTCTGTAAGTATGTGTTAAAAGATACATTTGAATTGGTTGATGTTCTTGTTGATAGTAATATTAATATTATGAACAAGAATATGTGCTCTTTTGATGTAAACTCGTTATTTACTAATGTGCCTTTGATCCACACAGTTGACATTTTGTGTGATTATATTTCCACAAACAATTTTTTCATCCAGTTCCCTTTATCTTATTCAAGGGATTTATTACTTCTATGTACTAACAATGTTAGGTTTACATTTGAAGGCGATTGTTTCCGCCAAGTTGATAGTGTTGCTATGGGCAGTCCGTTAGGGCCCCTTTTAGCAGATATTTATATGTCGTACATTGAGAATTTATCGGAGGATTTAATCGGAAGTGTGACACTTTATAGAAGGTATGTAGATGATATCCTAGTCATCAGTGATAAGTCTTGTTCTGCCACCTCTATTTTAAATCGAATGAATGAAGTTCAGAATAGCATATCTCTTACATCCGTGGAAGAAGAACATACTTGTTTATCTTTCCTAGACATATTGCTTAGTAGACGGCTTGATGGGTCAATAAAAAGATCTATTTATAGAAAACCCACCTGGACAGGACAGTATCTTAATTACAACAGTTTCTGCCCTGTGCGGTACAAAAGAGCCTCAGTAAGGTGCCTCTTCAGTAGAATCCGACGAATATGCACTGAAGACACACTTGATGAAGGAAAAAGAAAGTTGACACAAAATCTGGTTGATAACCATTATCCAGACATGTTCATCGGGAGATATAAAGTAGTCAGAACACCAAGACCTATTCTACAACACAACCCTAAGAAAGACGTGTACATCAAGCTACCCTACATGGGACATCAAAGCAGCTTGATAACTAGACGAAGACTGAACGCTGTTGATAAGAAGACTTTTTACGTAGTTAATATCGTAATAATAGAGAATGTAAAAGTAATATATCCATCTGAGCCCTTCGAACATGCGAAAAATGACGTCACATCCCACCGTATTTACCAATTTGAATGCACGTGTGGACACACATACATAGGGAGGACTCATCGATCTCTCATTTAAGAGGGATTCCGAGCATATTCCTAAATGGCTCCAGAAGGAAACAAAATCTTCAGAACCCACAAATGGTGAGAACAGGAGACCTAGCTCTTCTATTGCGAAACATATTATAGAGACAGGTCATAAAATTGATGTTAACAGATCTTTTAAACCTATCTATAAGACGTGTTTGGGACGTATCCTAAAGTTTGTAGAAGCCCTAGCAATTAGAAAGTTTAAGCCACCTTTATGCGTTCAAAAACAGTTCGTCATCACATTAAACCTTCCTTGTTAAATTTTGTTTTGATACCATAGCATATGTACTATTACCTCTGCTATTTGGTTTAGTGATCTTCATTGTTATTTTGACCTTGAATATGTCATTTTAACTTGACTTAAGTCTATTTTTCTCACCTCTTACCTCTTTATTAATTTCATATATATTCCTATGACAAGCCTGTGTGTGATCAGATTGTTCGAAATGTGTTGCGCGAATACATTACACGATTCAGACAAATTACATCTTCTTATTGCTTTATCTTAATTCATAAAGGGAACTAATTGCATTATTTTTACACCTAAAAATCTTCATCATTCTGTTTTTCGAAAATATATCTTGAGTTCTTTATCTTAATTTCATCCCTTTGAGCTCCTAGTGGAAATCGGCCTCAAAACTTTGAGCTCTGATATGTCAGTAGCTGAAGTGTTTCTTTTACATTGTGGGGTTACTAGCTTCACACCCAAACTTCACTCTGTACAGGGACTACTTATGCTGAGGCAAAATCAAGTAGTGAATCGGTCAGGGATCACACCCCAAACCACATGCGCGGTTGGTGAGGATTCCGCCACTGAACCACCAGTGTCCTCCAGTTCTTTTAAATACAATTGGCAGCTAAATTAAGGGAATACTATATTATTATAATTTTTTTTATTGTTCCCTTGGGTTCCTAGTGGAACATAGGGCTTCAACTTCACGTCTCCATTTGCTTCTGTCTTCTGCTGTACTTTTCGCCTGCATCCATGTTAGTCCATATTCTTTTAACTCCTCTTCACACGATCTCCTCCATGTCACCCTCACACTGATGTCCCACACGCCGCTTCCCTTTGGGTTCCACTCGAGGGCTTGGCGCGTGATGTCACCCAGAGGTCCGATCCATCTGCACTTTCTCCTGCATATTTGTTGGGTGATTGGTTCTTGCTTTGTTTGTTCCCATAATTCCTTGTTGGTGATTCTTTCCGGCCATCTGATCTTCAGTATTGAGCGAAGACAGTTGTTAATAAAGGTCTGCAGCCTTTTGGAAATATTTTTTGTTACCCGCGAAGTTTCTGATCCGATACGTATAGAAGAACTGACTGACTTTACATTTGTATTGAAAATCCGAATTTTGTTGTTGATTCTGGCTGAGTGACGAAGATTTCCAGATAGATTTCAGGTTGATGAATGTGTTTCTCGCCTGCCTTCCCGATTCTCGCTCGATTTGACATCCTCGTCCGTTCCGACTGCTTGTAGTTGAGACAATACCCCCTAGATAAGTGAATGAATGAAGTAACCTCTTTCAAATCCCTCCCGTTGATGCTGATTGACGTTGGATGCTGTTGCTGTTGTTGGTTGGTTATTTTCATAACCTCCGTCTTGTCTATGTTTACCTGGAGTCCTGTCTTCACTACCTGCTTCTTCGACCATTTTTTCGGTTTTCGCTTGTAAGTCTTCGATTGTGTGTGACATCAAACATAAATCATCCACGCACGAAATCCAGGTATTCTAAATTCTTCACATCGGTCCAGGATATCCCTGTCTCGTTTCTCGTTTCCCACTGTCTGACGCATAATTCAGTCCACCATAATGAGGAATATCATTGATGATAGATAATAAGCACCCTTGTCTGACTCCTG